AAATGCGGTCATTACAGAAACGGTAACCACAATGTTTGCTGCTCGTAAGAAAGGTTTTATAAGCAGCATTTTCCTATGGCTGTGCTGGGCATGGCGCTGGGGTCAGGGCTCTCGCTGCTCGGCTGGGGTAAGGGCAGGTTTCCCTCCTTGCCCCACCACTAACTGCTGGCAGCACCAGGACAGTGCATCTGGGCAGAGCTGAATATTTGCATGGGATGTACCCTCGAGCTGTTTGCCATCAGTATGCTGCCAGAATACCCGATATATTTTCTAGACATTGCTGGTGATCAAACATATAAACAGGCCACTGTTAGTCACCTTTCTTTATCCAGCCCTTGTGCCTCTCTAAATTGAGAAGGAAATTCTTATTCCTGCATCTAAACCCGTTCTGACTCCACCGAGGCACTTCGTTCATCAGTCTTCCATCTGCAGACTCCCCCAGGTCTCTAACAGCTGATGATGAACAAGGACATTTCTCAGGGTCTCAGGCCAGCAAGATGATGAAAGATGTGAGACAAACCTTCCCGTGACGAAAGGGTGACAAGCCAGGGGTGGCCTCCTGCAAAGAAGTGAATGAAAAGGAACGTTATAAGGCTATATAAAATGATTGGGAGTCTAGATAAGGGGTTCCTAATGTTTTTTGGGGGACTGCAGCACAAAGTGAAGGCCGGGTGCCTGTGACCTCTGGGGGGAAGCAGAGCTTTGGGGGCAACAAGTTGCTGGGTCTCGCAGTGGGAGAGGGGTGGCAGCCAGGGCTTGTGCCAGCTTGGGGGGCAGCGGTCAGGGGCGAGCTGTATGCCCCTTGCCATGGCATCGCAGGCTGGCAGCGACCATGTTAAACTGCAGCACAGCACCCACTCGTCTGGAGAAGGTGGGCCAGGGACAGCTTTCCCTTTGGGTCAGGGACAACTTTCCCTTCGGGTCAGGGACAACTTTCCCTTCGCTCTTTGAGTCCTAGGGTATGAGCATGTGAGACATCCATCAAAATTAAAGCATGGAACTGCCTTATGCACTGGCTTGTTATTTAGGGAGTCACGAAGGCAAGGCTCATCACGATTCAGATGGCAGCTACACACTTCTCTGCAGACCAGAATATCCAGGGTTGTCATAATAATGCAGAGGAAATGTGAAGCGAGGGGCATCTTGACTTTTAGAGGTTTTCCTTCAAGTTTTCAAGGCACTTTATAGATTAAGCCAACCTTTACCTGTTAAACAGCTAGTAAGACCTAAATAGACAGAGCAAACTACCCCAACCTTACTTACTGCAGCTCTAGGACGTTTTGTCGGAAATACCTAGCGCTGCCCACCGTGGGAGTCAGGCCACAGGACAGGACAAATTTCCAGGTTAGCAATTCTCATATTCTAATGTGAGATATGCATACTTTAATAAGTCAGTTATTTCTTACTCCTTCTATTAGTTTATATATATATAAGTTTTTATATATATATATTATACTTAGATAGATAGATAGATAGAATCACTAAAATGCCAAATGGTAACTTTGCCTTAACTTTCCTCCTCTGCCTTTACTTTTTATGCTCCTGCTGCTCCCTGGGGTAAACCTTGGGGGTAAACCATAACTCTGCAAAGGGGCAGACATCTATGTTGAGAATCAAAATTATGTTTGTGAGAATAAGCAGCTTGCAACAAAAAAGAAGTATGCTTTGATTCCAACTTTTCCTGGAGTTCTTAATTCAAAGTGCCTTTTAATGTGATTTCATCCCTGCAGCAATATGATACAACGCATGCTGCAAAACGGGGTACAGCAATTGTGCAATTAACAACATATTATTTATTACTATTTAACTGCAACTTTAAACTGCTGCCAAGAAGACAAATATCTGTGTGTCCTCCTTGCCAGACCTTGCGCTCTGCCTGTTTCTGCAAGAGGAACGGTGCAAGATGTACTGAGCAGCGGTGTCCCCCCGCTCCATCATCGGATGTGAAGTCCTGCCTTGCAAAGGCTGCCAGAAACCTCACTGGGGTTGCTCAGATGTTAGAGGAGCGCACCTAGGCCAGTTACATTTGCAAGACACAGAGCTATATACTAGACTAAAATAATCACATAACATTGACTCATCCCACGGAACTGCAGTAACCCCCCCCAATAGGATAGGCTCGTCTGTTTAACATTATAGATTAGCCAGCGCTAGTCCACTGCTATGATAATAACTCAGCCATAATATCCAAGATTTGATGTTATTAGAATATTCAGCATACATCTCTCCATGCACAAATATAATAAAGCTAATGTAATATCAGGAATGCAAAAAAAAAAAATACTTTAATGGCTTTATATCAATTGCAGGGAGCAAGATCTGTGGATGTATACTTCCCTGAAGCACCATGGTTTGACTACTATACCGTATGTATTTTTAAGACTCAGTTTCTTACATTTTTTACATAATTTAAAATGGTACTATTCCAGCAAAATAACTTTTAGCAATGTTCAGCAGTATTTTCACCTCAGCATCTGTGTTTAAGAAAACTAGAGCACAAAAAGTCTACACCAGGCTAGCTGGAGAGTAAATTACACAGCTTTCAGTAGCATTTTATTTTCTATTTTTGGTTTGTAAAGCTCTAAGACACAAAGAACTGAATTTTCAAGAGCAGCCTAGAAATTCATGAAACTGTCAAGATTTCTTTCTTTCTTCCTCACTTAGTGCATGTTTTAATTCTTGTAATGATACACTTCCTTGCATAGAAATGGAGACGGAAATCTGAGTTGTCCTCCTGAGAACATGCTGCAAACCATTCTGTGCGTGCAGTTTTGCACATAGATCACTTTTGACAGAAGGTGTATTTAGAGAGCAGGGTGAGGCTCCCCTCCAAAAGATGCTTCCAAGAGATGCAGAACAACCTGTTCTGTGGAAAATGCCAGCCTCTCGTAGTTTCAGCGACTGCAAGTTTTGACCTTTCGAACACCATCCCCAGTACTGCATTTCCAAAAGCGCTCGGTTTCAACCTGCCTACACCCCGCTTCAATCTGCAGGATTAGCCCAGCGTTGGCTGCAGCAGGAGCAGTGAGGCTGATGCTGAGAACTTTCGGAAACGGGAACCCAGGAGCATCAGGCTGTTGTTCACTATCCCGAGCGACGCTGGCAGGGGAGCGGGCAGGACAGAAATGCTCTCAGAGGAAATTCAGACTTACTTTTAAAGAAGTTTGGTCGTTTTCAGCATTTGGCTGGTGTCCTCAGATGGATGTTCATCCAACCGTCTCCCTTTCCTCTTTTCACTAGACTGTGGCACTGTAAGGCCAAGCATTCCGTTCAGCTCTCCTTGCTGTGGTTCCCTCTGAGCCCCCCTTGCTGGGCTGGGCGCGGGGACGGCAGCCCCGGTGTCCCTTGTCCTGCCTATGGGGCATGTCCCTGGCATTAGCAAAGCTCAGTTCCCAGCATTTGGCATATACTTGCCATATACATGATGCTTATCCAAAACTAAGGTTGGGTACTTACCCTAAGTTATAGTTACCATTTACAGAGGGCAAGTGCAAAGCCTTCCTGTCATCTACTACAGAGTAGATGTAAGCCTTGCCTACACCTGGTTTTGAGGCATTAAACCAAGAAGAAATAATGCAGATCACTTATGCCAGTTGTCTACACATATGCAGTTTTCACTCATTGAATGCTGTAGTTACTTTTTGAAGGGGGAAGGCTTGTCCTTAAAAGAGAAGAAAATCTATGGTTTACATTCCCAAATGATTATGAATCACTTACCTTAAACTGAAATGTGGCAGGCCCCATATGCATAAAAAGAGAAAGCAAAAGTTTCTTCTCCTTTTTGCTCTGTGTCTTGATGAGGGTTTTTTTCACAGCATATGGAATAATGATACCATTTTTAAAGACGATTTGCTGTCTTACATTCATGATGTTTCTTCTTCATGCATATGCATAACTGAAGGGGCTAGATCCTCTTTCATGTTAAAAAAGGAACTGGAATAATACCCCTGCTTTTCTGTTTGCATTTTCACTGATGTAATTGAGATGAAAATGTACCCCTTGGTCTCTTTCTTAGTGGTATATGGCCACAATGTATAGTGCTTTGGATTTTTAACCATGTTAATTGTTGCAGTAGGGTGACAAACTGCCAAGTGCCTGGAACAAGAACTATGCTACTGTGGCTGCCCCATTGAGCAAGATCCCTCTCTTCATCCGTGGAGGCCACATCCTGCCAGAACAGGCACCAGCCACGACCACTACTAAGAGGTAACGTCATCTGTGTCCATCACCCAAAAACCACAGACACATAGACAGCCAAAAAAGCAATCAAAAGAAAGTGCAGGAAAGAGACTATCAGCTGCCATCCCAGGTGATAAACACAGTATTTTTATCCCACTATTTGCTCCATTGTATTAAGAGAAGTCACCCCAGAGATGACCCACGTCATCGTCTGCACAGCTGAAAGCTACTCCTGGCTCTGTGGTTATGCTCAGAAAAGCTTCTGCACGTCTTACTGCCACACTGACCTGCTGCCAGTCATTCAAAGTAAACATATGCAAAGGGAAAATGCAAAACTCTTCTCCTTGGATGTATTTATCCAATGCCACAGGCAAGGCGGAAAAGCTCAAATCTCTTTTGAGGAAAAGGATTTCCTCACACCAGTGGGTAATATCTCACATCTGAACCATGCTCAGAAGCTAACACGAGTAGCGAAGGAAGGGAATGGCACTGTGCAGGAACCAAACCATAGTAAGTTAGCATTGGTGATCTGTTGCCTCCCAGATTGCCCAGTTATCATACATTAAAGCCACTAAAGAAGGGGAAACTTGTCCACATGAGCACTCGAAAATTGGGAATTTTAAACTTCAGTGGGACAAGGCAAGGCAAACTTTTCGTCATCATTTCCAGACTCAGTTTGGTGAGCATGGCTGTCATTCTTCTGTCGTGGCCTTTTTCGTAACCTTAAAATCAGAGTTAATTGCGTTCAGGAGTTTTTGCTAAATAACTTGGGACAGCACCCACCGGTTCGTATTGACACTTCTCAACGTGTTTGTCAACAGCCGCCTGAATCCATTTGGGCTCATTATTGCCCTGGATGAACAAGGAGAAGCTTCTGGATCTCTCTTCTGGGATGACGGTGATTCAATTGGTAAGCCTGGCCCCCCACCTCGAAGCAGTGTCTGTATACAGGGCTCTCCTCCGGCTGCCTTTCCAGCAGTATCATGGCACTGACTCCTGCTAGAAATAACTTGAGAACTGACCTGAAGTTGAACATTACAGAGGTGAAAAGCAGAGTATTTTGGTATGAGAAAGGTGTGACACCGGGAACAGCTGGTCTGCTAGGGAGGGCAATCACTCATGTCGTGTTCCCCTGAGATCACCCCAAGAAGACTAGAGGAAGAGATTAAATAACCCACAAACCATCTTAGTCTGACATTAGCTGCTCGCTACAATTAATATAAACTGTGTATGATTTTGCTCCCTGTTTTCATACCAACCCTCCTTGTTCTGTGTTTTGACAGATACTATTGAACAAGAGAACTACTTCTTGGCTAAATATACGTACAGCAAAGTAAGTAGCAATGTACAAGGTACCTACATACATACAGGTAGCATTGTAAGGTGCTGATGTCTAACTCTTCTCTGGAAAGCTTTTTTTCTTATAGCTCAGCCTTTCAACCTGATAAGCTGCCTAACGTTTTCATTTACAGACAGCTACAAAATAATCCAACTATGACTTGGGGGTGTTGGTTGCTGATAAGCTCAACATGACCTGGCAATGTACGCTTGCAGCCCAGAAGGCCAACCATGTCCTGGGCTGCACCAAAAGCAGCGTGGCCAGCAGGTCGAGAGAGGGGATTCTGCCCCTCTGCTCTGCTCTGGTGAGACCTCACCTGGAGCATTGTGTTCAGCTCTGGGGCCCCCAACATAAGAAGGACATGGAACTGTTGGAGCAGGTCCAGAGGAGGCCATGAAAATGATCCAAGGGCTGGAGCACTTCTCCTACAAGGACAGGCTGGGAGAGTTGGGGTTGTTCAGCCTGGAGAAGAGAAGGCTGCGGGAAGACCTGATTGCGGCCTTTCAGTACATAAAGGAGGCTTAACAGGAAAGATGGGCTTGTTGTGATAGGACAAGGGGTAATGGTTTTGAACTAAAAGAAGGTCAATTTAGATTTAGACTAAATGTAAGGAAGAAATTTTTTACAATGAGGGTGGTGAAACATTGGAACAAGTTGCCCAGAGAAGTTGTGGATGCCCCTTCCCCGCAAGTGTTCGGGGCCAGGTTGGACGGGACTTTGAGAACCTGATCCAGTTGAAGATGTTCCTGGTCATTGCAGCGGGGTTGGAACTAGGTGATATTTAAGGTCCCTTACAACCCAAAACATTCTGTGACTCTATGATGCTGCAGTTTTGTGTTTGCTTCATTATCATAGTGACACATCATTAACGTCCCTGCTGTGATGTGAATCTGAAAATCCATTTTTTCAGCTCAGATTTTAATTTTTTTTCTGAGTCGCTGCTTCTGGGGAATGAGGGACCTTTTCCTTGTCTTCCTCCTGTGAACACTGTCAGTCTGATCCATGGGAGAAGGCTACATTCTTCTCTTCAGTACATCCCAGCAACTTTTTCACTTTGATCACTTGAAGCTTGCACCTTGTGTCCCAGAGAATTACATAGCCTCACTTCTTTAGCTTGCATTTCCTTGTCTGACAGCACAGAGATTGCTCCCATGGTTGGTCTCCCATGGAGCGATTCAGCACGCTCCCGGCAACCCACCGTGCTGATCAGATGCTCCGTGCAGCAAAGAAATAGATTAGCCCAGGGTCAGTGCACTAATGTCTTTCACACAGCGCTCACTTCTGCGCAAACGTGTCCTGAGAAAGCTCAGTAGAAAAACCCAACAGTCTAGGCTTCAACTGAGAAAAACATGATAAAATAAACCTACTAGAAGCTCAGTAAGTATATGATAGTAAGTTGTGAGAGTTACTGTAAAAAAACTTAACCTACCTCAGAAATCTACACAGATCGTATTTTATCTACAATTCCAGCAAGAAATAGGCTATTTTATGTAGACTGTGGCATGGTTTGCGTGTCTTGTATTCCTGAAAGCCCCAAAGTAGTCTACAGAAAACATTTAAAAGAATAAAATTGTGTTAACCTCTATTGTGATACTGCTCTTCGAATATAGGTCTTCCAGGATTGACAGCAAGGCAGAGTAAACTGATGGGTTTGACGATGTAGTCTTGTATATTCGTGAGATATTTTCCTGAAACTGATACCACGTGTCTAGAATTTAAATTTAATATTCAATTTATTTTCATCTTGATTTACAAAAAAAAAAATTTTTCTTCTTCAAAAAAATGATATTTCAATGGCAAAAGGGAATTAAAATCACTTCAGCTTTCTGTAGTCTGTGTATAGTAATTTATTGCAGGAAGGCTACAGAAAAACAATATCCAGTTTTATATTAAATTCTGATCTGTGGAAATTAGATTGTTGATTCACTGGCACTTCCATTTCTCATTGCTTATATTTGACTTCTGCCTGTAAATCCATGACTGAAGTCCCTATCTGCATTCCAATAATCTCTAATGTTGATTTTTTATTATGTGTTTATAAAGAAAAAAATCCATCTCAAATAGCAAATTGTAGAGGTATGAGAAATGTACAAAAGTCTTGGTATTGCACATTTCTATATTGCTAAAAAATCGTGGATGAATAATTTAATCACACCTAGTTTTAGGCGAACACTCAAGCTTTGGTGCCTAAGAGATTTACTGATAAGGTCTGACACCATAGCAGTTACTCTGACCCCAGCACAGCGTTGTTCAGGTAACAGCTACAGGATTAGACCCTCTCATTTGTATTTTCATTTAAACAACCCAAAAGTACAAAGAAGAATTCAAGACTAGTACAGGCTCTTAAGTCTCAGAGAACAGCTTAAACTGCCTATTCTCGGGTACTGTCTCACCACGGTTGGTATTCTAATTCACTTGACACCGCCATTTTGACACATATAATGGCTAAGTGACCTAAGATAAAGTGCGCCAAATCAAAGTGGCTCATATCTTAAGCCTACCAGTCTAGAAAAATACGTGAGCCAGATGTATAAGATCCGCTGCAGTTCAGGGGTAAGCAGGGAGAGCCATAAACTCTGCCTCCATCCCCAGAGCAGATATGCTCAGACCGTACCAAGTGGGTCCAGACACTAAAGGATGGTGATGGGAAGGCTTGCCCAAGGAACCGGGAGCTTCTGAAAGAATACATTAGCCAGCAGTCAACTGAATAGCCTGAGAGCAAGTTCCTCCTAAACTGGTCCAATTTTCAGGGTGAGAATGTGGGGACAAAGAAAAGGTGCAGAGCAAGACCAGAGAGCAAGGCAATAAGAAAGAAAAATCATTACTCTGCTGCTCTGCTGCAGGAGGAAGCCCTGGCTTCTGGCCTTAGATCCAGGACTTGCTTGTCCTTTGCATTTATGGGGCTTTGGGTGATATCCGTAAGTTCCTTCCCTCTGATGAGAACTCAGGACCTTCCTTTAACCACTAGATTCTTGGGGAGGAGAGGACCGCTCATTCCCCTGGACCACCACCTCCCTGTCTCCCCAAGACCTTCAGTTCCAGACCTTGGTCACAAGGACAAAGGCGTTTACTGCACTGTCCTGGCTCAGGGCCTCAGAGCTCAAGTGCAATTTTATTTATTAATACAGCTGTAATCACTGAGTTCAGCACCACGTTGAGCTTTCTGGGTCCATGTGGCCACCTTGAGCTAGCTCTCCTGCTTGGCCACATCTGAGACAGCAATAAATCACTGTAGAGAGGTGGTCCCTATACTGAACCCCCCTGTACACTGGAGCTTCACCAATGGAGGAGGAGACACCATATAGAAGCACCCTAACACATTCTCCGGAGGCTTTTAGAGACCTCTCCCCATTTGCTCCACAATAGCCAACATTCCTTATTCAGGCAATTTAAATCAGCGCGCTAGGGATTAGCACTTATTTTTAGTGTGGATGCCTGAAATAAGCAGTCTAAGCACAGCCCTAAGTTACAAATACTGCGATGTAGCTTCTGCTCCCCTCCTACCATGCACCACTGAAATAACATAAGCTAATTTATGCAAAAGGTTCCATCATGGGTTTCTCCTTGGCATATTTTTTAAAAAGTCATGATTGCATGGCAATTCATCATTTCCTGAGCAGTGTAATTCATCTTTATTTCCTTAACAACTTTGATCACATAACAAATGCAATGATTCCTTTTCATTGGTTGTATGGGAAATTACTGTCGCTGGTGATCCAAATGAATTTGTTTAATGACTTTGCGTGTCCTCTTGATACACCCTAAATGCAGGATATTTTTAGCTATGTATTAGTAAACAAGTAGTATAACAAACAAGGCTCTGTGGACATACAGTGTTCCTTTGGTGTCCTTAAAGCTGGGACATACGCAGCAGAGATTTCTAGCAGGAGCTGTGGAGATATGGGTCATAAAATAGGGGCAAAATATCTCGTACCTGATGTTTGTGGAAGATGCTGATGGTTTAAAGCAGTTAGTTGTGGATGTTAATTAAATCTGCCTTAAGGTCACTAACTGAATCTCCGTATCTGGATTTTGGCTTTGCATATGCCACTGTACCCTGTAAATGGGTACAAGAATCAAATTTGCATTGATTACAAGCAGAAAAAACACACCGAAGAAGATTCCAAATGAATGTTGTAAATGCTATTTTGTTTCTTACTGGGTTAGTTTATAATGATACACAAAATATTTCTTATGTGAAAATTAATGTGACTGTTGGTGTCCTTTATGGTCTTAAATTTTAATGTCTACACTGGAAGACCATTCTATACATTGATTGACAGAGACGAGACCACAACAGTAACAGCATGCAGTAAGTCACCTCCAAAGAACTGCTGTGGTCCTAACATTTTCTCTGTGGCTTTTTCCAGGGAAACCTGAAGACAGAAATACTTAAAAATGGCTACCGAGGGGCTGACGTTCTGAAGTACAACAAAATTACAATTCTTGGCCTGAAACTGAGACCTCATGCTGTTGCTCTGAACGGAAGAGCCGTCCATGGAGACGCTTTCTCCTATGAGCTGAGCGGGGTAAGAGCTGCGCTGAGCAACTGTGAAAAACCTTAGGGAAGGGGGGATAGTCAATGAGTGAGCGGAACAGTTCCTCATCCACACCCCTTTACATTTCCAAGCATAAGCAGACACCAATTCTTGATACAACAGTCTGAGTTTTAAGGGGGGAAGTGACAGCAAGAGCTTTTTTAGGAAACTTTAATATTTGCTATTACACAGACACTCGTTCTCTCATTTAGTATCTGTCACTTATACAAGTTTTAAAAATAATGAAATAATGAAAAGAAGATACAGCTCCACAAACTGGGAGAAATGTTAGGAGTTTTAAGGTCATTATTATTATTCTGTTAAAATGAGAAAACCTCTCACAGTTATGTATCAACTGCTGAAAAGAAGTAGTGGAGATATTTTCTTAACAACTTCTTAAGTGTCCAAAAATGACTACAGCATAGCTGGCTTAATGATGTCTCCCTATCTTCAGAGGAGGGAAAGGTGAATTTCTGCTGTACGTTTGTTCCTAAGAAAGTATTGCTACAGTGAGACAACAGTTACCATTTCAGCATCTTAAACCGTCCAACCTCAGCGTCCCAGGTAAAAATGCATGACTTGCTCGTGCAGTGCTCCTCCTCTGGCATCAACGAGGAGACACTGCGAGGGGACGGACCAAACACCCCTAATGAAGAGCTGTGACAGCCTCTCTGGTCCCAGTTTCCTTTTCCACAGGGGAATAGACAAAAAGAGGAATGCTGAGTAAGCTGCCCTTGCTCTGGTCAGTTGTCCCCTATCTGTCACCAGCCACCAAGCTGAAGTGGGTCGTGCATGCTTTGTAGGAGATGTGGTACTTGCATCTCAGCACTGGTCTGCATTGAGGGTTCTCCCAGTACTGATGCCATAAGATGCCGCTAACTCATCATTCAATCAAAGATAGCTGAGGCATTAAGCAATGGATGTCATGTCTTATGTCACTCTACCCACTTGGCTTAATGATTTAAGTTTATTCGTAACCAAAGTGTGATCCCCATTATATGCACCTGGTTCTAATATTTATTTTATTGAAGGAATCTCTAAAGGAAGAAAATTGCTGAGAATAAATTTCTGCCTTGGAGAATCCTAAAAAACTCACTTTTAGAGGAGATGTCTTAAATAAGTGTAATCAGTATTGCCTCAAGGGAAGAAATTGTTTAACACCCAAACTGCCTCTAAGAAAGCTGAAAGCAACATAAATGTGGCAGGGTAAAGAAAACATTCCATTGAGATGTGCTTGAAGGCACCAATCACAGAAATCCAGAAGATAGATAACTGCATACTAACAGCATCACATAAAAAGATGATTAAGAAAGACTAAAAAGCTTGTCACAAAAGTATCATTTAAAATTTGATTTAAGTGCAGATGATGATCTCAGTGACTTAAGAACTATTTCAAATAATGGAGAAAAAAACACCAAACTGCTGTAGTAGGAAAGGTCCGAAACTGCACAAAAAATACATTATTTATATCAGCCAGTAACCTAAACCAGCTGAATATATTCCTCCTACAGTTCTAAGCAATTCAGTCAAACCTCTCCCACCATCCCTGTACAGATGTTGTAATGCTTTTACCTATAACCTTCTCATGTTGGAGTCTCCATTAAAAAAAAAAAAGCACTAGCATCTTGGGTTTAGATCTCAAAAAGTTACAACCCTTGTAATTAAAAAAATAACAAAAAATTTGCCATTTTCTCACGGGCTTAATGAGATGACATACTGTATAGCAGTTTAACAAGCACAAAGACTGTGCTGTTTGAAGGGATTTAGTAGAAAGTAACTTCTACCATACTGCTTTTGCTTTACAGAAAGCAAATTTGCCTAAAAGCAGTGCTTAAGCGCATAATTGAGCCACAGTTCTTTGTATATAGACGCAGTTTGCTTAGTAATAAGCCACTTATTGCTCTCAGAGCCATGCAGTGCTCCCCTGATCTGACATTTGTAATGTCACAGAATCTTCCTGTTATTGGGAGTCTCTGTCTTTTTCTTCTCCCCCCAAAAAACCCCCCCCGCGGGGTATCTTCCCCTAAAAGCCACAGGAACTGTATTGTAACTGCAGCAGGGATGCTGGAGGAGCACTTCTGCTGACAACAAAATGACCCGGGCATAGGAAGGTTCTCCTTTTTCTTCCACTTGCATCCTCTGCCGCGAAGTGCAGGAGGTTCCCGCTGTCCGTAGCTCCCAATGTCCATGCAGGCGTGCAACCTGGAGCCGCCTTTCTGGCTGCCCATCACTTTTGGGTTAGTGTTTGCATGGGGTTGCAGTATTTTTGTCTGGATCCAGCCCTGTATTTGAATAAAAGGCAAATCATTCAAGGGGTGGACTTCCTACTTACCAAGTAATGGTAGAGAACTGTTTCTGATGAAAGATGAAAGCATTACATACTTTGAAGAAGGGATCTAAGTGTAGACTGTTAGAATGATGCTAACATGAATTTGTGGGTGGCAAAGAAATAGCTTAGACGTGTGAATGGATATCATGTATTTTAAGAGATTAATAATTCTGAAACCTAAAGATAAAACTGGTGAAGTACTGAAAATTGAAATTATGAGAGTAGCATAAAGTACATCAAATTTAACATTGAACAGAGAGACATCAGGACAAGTATTGTCTTTACAATTTCATATTTAATTCATGTTATTAATTAATTTTGAACTGTTCCTGAATTTCTAAAAGGGATGTTAAATTGGATACAGCAGTAGAAAGATGCATCAAGTCAGTCTTGCCTACCAGATGAGGTTAAGGGAATCATGAAGGTCTAAGCTCAAGTTTCCCTTCTTGTTTTCTGTTTTGAGCTGGTCTTTTTTAAGTTATCACAAAGTTATTAATTATTTTTGTGTCTTTTTTTCTTTATCACAGAAACTCACTTTATGGATTTCTGCCCCACTTACTCAGGAACTCAACATTATGATTTACTAGAATGGTCAGAAAACACTGACATAATTTAGCATCCTTGGCCCTCAGATATTGATTTGACTTTGATTTTAATGTAAGAAAAACATTTAGACATTAAGAGCTTGCTTATGTACTTGATGACTGTTCTTTCCCTCTGTAGTATTTGTAACTCAGTATTCTTCAAATAAAATTTTCAGTAGTAACTAATGAGTATTACCAAAACCTGATGTGTGTTCAAAACAGCATAGAAGAAATCATCCAGAAAGTTCTCTCTCACCACAGATGGAGGTAATACTTGGAAATGACGCACTGTTGGTTTTTTTCCAAACCTATGGTGGAAAAAAAAATAAAAGGAACATCCAGATAGTCAGCTGAACTCGCATAGCCCTATTCTGGGGAGGCGGGGTGGGGGGCAATGTGTGTTTGTCAGCAGAATGTGTGGGAAACACTGCTGATCCAAGGTTGGGGATACCTGGATCTACTTTGTACTTCAGCTATTTCTGCCTGCAGAATGAAGTCCCAAGCACATAAGAATCTCCAGCTTGTGGAAATGCCTCTAAGGAATCACTGCTATTTATAATACATCATCACTGTTATTATAATGCATAATCAGCCATTAATATATATCATATAGTAAATATGAATATAGTATTATATGAAAGAGTATATAATCAGCTGGTGTAAATCGGCCAGCAGTTCCAGGCTACAAAATCTACAGCTGCAGGGCTCACTTGCTTTTGTCTCCTCTTCCATGTTCCTGAGCTGTAATAACGGCAGCCTGGGCATGTCTTGGGATCCAGCGATTGTAGAGAGAAGTTTTTGAAACCTTGGGGGATTTCTTTTAAGGATCTGGTTCTCTCTGGAGATTTTTCCCAGTGTTAGAGTAGCTCTTACCACAGTAAGTGGTTGGTACCCTTCAAGGGGCACCACTGTGACTTTTGAGAGGAGGGATCCACCTCATGGCAGGGTCAGGGCTCCACAGACTCAGCTGCTCCCATGCTTTTAACTCTAAGCTAAAAAACTCTTTTTCCATTGTTAATATTTGTTCATGAGAAACCTGAGTCACAATTTGCAACCATAAGAGCTTTAGCAGTAAGCAGATACCCCAGTAAGGAGGTTGGGAAGGGACTGTGATCCAGTTTTGTCTGCCAGCTCTCCCTTCCCCAGCAGTGAAATTCCCCCCAGCACATTGCAGGCAGCGTTAAGCTTCGCCTCAAGCTCCTTGAAGTGCTTGTGACCCTATTTCTGCCTCCCACCATTACAAAAATATATGGAAAATCCTACTCGTAGCAGAAATGCCATTGTCAGTTCCCAGCAGAATAATTCTGCTTCCAGAACTCTTCAGGGAAAGACCTCAGCCACATTCTACTTTGGACTGCAAGTCTTATGAGGAGCTGCTGAGGGAACTGGAGTTGTTTAGTCTGGAGAAAAGGAGGCTGAGGGGAGACCTTATCGCCCTCCACAACTGCCTGAAAGGGGGCTGTAGCAAGGTGGGTGTTGGTCTCTTCTCCCAGGTAATGGGCGATAGGACGAGGAGAAATGGCCTCAAGTTGCACCAGGGCAGGTTTACATTGGCTATTAGAAAAAATTTCTTCACCGAAAAGGTTGTCAAGCACTGGAAGGGGCTGCCCAGGGAAGTGGTCAAGTCCCCATACTGCTCCTGGCATACAGACACGAGTGCAAGTGTAGCATGTTTTAACAAGAATGTCTGATTTTCACAATGTTCAGCTCTTGACCACTCAATGATAAGGATTTCATCCAGATGTTTTTACATGATCACATTTCTTCTGAATTAGCCAGGACACACTAAACAGCAGTAAATTTCTCCAGTTTATGCCAGCTGTAGAAAGACACACACGGTTCTGCCTGGCTGCTAAAGGTTGCTTCCCTGAAGCAAGATGGGTCTTGCAAAGAAACCTTAAGAGCTGGATCTGACCAAAGCTTTTCCTGGCTGCAGCAACGTCTGCTGTGAAATATGTCTGCTCTGCACAGTGCGGTAAAGCAGCTTGTTCATCAGCTCTCTCATGGGAAGAAGCTGAAGAAGATACTACAAAAAGGCGTACTGGAAGATGATGAAGGGCAGAATATGGGCAGTAGAGTGAAAGCTGAGCTAAGGTGATGGATGTGACCATCAT